ATTAACTAATCAATCCACTCGTTGAGAATGAATCCTGAACAGTGGACGACACGCTAATGACTATGCTAGCTCCAGTTCAGGATCACGTTGCAGTGCTGTCAAATCACTGATTGGTGAAAAGTGTTTAAAGTGCACAATAGTACAATAGAAGACGCATACCTGAGTTCCAGACTCCCTCTTCGCTGGACGCCGGCAACACATCCGCCTTTCTAAACATCATCCATGTGATCCTTTCTAAGGGTTAGTCAACTAGATGCTGTCTCGATCTTTGTCAATCTGGCTGACGATTTGAACTAGCTCAATGCATGTCTTCCAGTTTAACTGGTGCTGTGCAGCTTGTTACACAGACTTTACAAAACACCCTCCTTACAAACGCACCTCCGAAAACCACCTCGCTTCTCCTACAGAGGAGAGTGTAGGTCGACCACGATTGAGACGACTTCAAATAATTCCTGTCTATCTGATTCATCGCTTCCTACTCCTCATACTCCACATTATTCCACATTGCAAAGCGTTTTACTTGATCGTCACTCTGAACGCGCTCATCTATCCACCGAGATTCGAACGTGGTGTGGTGTTGTGTGGTATCGTTTGGTGTGTTCGTGTATGTGTGTGTGGGTCTACTCGAAATTAGTAGTAGTATACTGGTGGAGTGGTCTAGCGATGGTGGCATTCAGGTGGTTGGTGTTCATGTGTATGTTGTCTGAGTGTTTGTTTGTTTGTTTGTTTGTTTGTGTGCTTGCTTGTTAGCTTGTCATTGAGTGAGTGGGTGAGTGTGTGAGTGTGTGAGTGAAGTGTATTAGACTGTGAAGTTTTTTGATGTGTTTGTTGATGTGAGTGACTTGAGTAATTGAGTTAGTTTTCGGTTTCGAGTGTAGGAGGAGTATAGTTGGGATTGGGGCCCCGTGGCCCAATGGATAAGGCATCTGACTTCGGATCAGAAGATTGCGGGTTCGAGTCCCGTCGGGGTCGAGGCTTTTCCTCCGGTTACCATCACAACGTGCCATTCCTTCAAGAATCCAGTCCCTGCTCACCTCCTTCATCCCCACCAGATCCTGTCAACCAGACTCCTCTGCAACTGGATTTCAGCGGAATATCAGCTCGGAGATCTGTGCACACCTGGTCGCTCCAGGGACTCAATTCAAATCACTCCTCACTGACGTAGAACTGTCTGTCACCGAGGTGAATCACACACAACATCTCCTCCGTCTGTGTACTTCTCTCCACTGAATGAATCGAATAACTACTCGATTCATTCATTCATTCATTCATCACTCACTCACTCACTCACACAACCACTCATTCATTCAGTATTTCACTCAATCTGACACTCACACACACACACACACACACACACAGTGAATATGTCACTCTCTCTTTGGCCACTCCATCAATCACTTCATCTGTCAAACACTGCCTCACTCTCACTCACTCCCTCTCTATCTCTCAACCATTCTCTCACTTACTCCGTCTCGTTCCCTCTCCAACTCCCTTTCATTCGATGAGCCAATCAACCAAGAATTCACTCGTGCATTAAACACTGAATCCGTTCATCATTAACTAATCAATCCACTCGTTGAGAATGAATCCTGAACAGTGGACGACACGCTAATGACTATGCTAGCTCCAGTTCAGGATCACGTTGCAGTGCTGTCAAATCACTGATTGGTGAAAAGTGTTTAAAGTGCACAATAGTACAATAGAAGACGCATACCTGAGTTCCAGACTCCCTCTTCGCTGGACGCCGGCAACACATCCGCCTTTCTAAACATCATCCATGTGATCCTTTCTAAGGGTTAGTCAACTAGATGCTGTCTCGATCTTTGTCAATCTGGCTGACGATTTGAACTAGCTCAATGCATGTCTTCCAGTTTAACTGGTGCTGTGCAGCTTGTTACACAGACTTTACAAAACACCCTCCTTACAAACGCACCTCCGAAAACCACCTCGCTTCTCCTACAGAGGAGAGTGTAGGTCGACCACGATTGAGACGACTTCAAATAATTCCTGTCTATCTGATTCATCGCTTCCTACTCCTCATACTCCACATTATTCCACATTGCAAAGCGTTTTACTTGATCGTCACTCTGAACGCGCTCATCTATCCACCGAGATTCGAACGTGGTGTGGTGTTGTGTGGTATCGTTTGGTGTGTTCGTGTATGTGTGTGTGTGGTCTACTCGAAATTAGTAGTAGTATACTGGTGGAGTGGTCTAGCGATGGTGGCATTCAGGTGGTTGGTGTTCATGTGTATGTTGTCTGAGTGTTTGTTTGTTTGTTTGTTTGTGTGCTTGCTTGTTAGCTTGTCATTGAGTGAGTGGGTGAGTGTGTGAGTGTGTGAGTGAAGTGTATTAGACTGTGAAGTATTTTGATGTGTTTGTTGATGTGAGTGACTTGAGTAATTGAGTTAGTTTTCGGTTTCGAGTGTAGGAGGAGTATAGTTGGGATTGGGGCCCCGTGGCCCAATGGATAAGGCATCTGACTTCGGATCAGAAGATTGCGGGTTCGAGTCCCGTCGGGGTCGAGGCTTTTCCTCCGGTTACCATCACAACGTGCCATTCCTTCAAGAATCCAGTCCCTGCTCACCTCCTTCATCCCCACCAGATCCTGTCAACCAGACTCCTCTGCAACTGGATTTCAGCGGAATATCAGCTCGGAGATCTGTGCACACCTGGTCGCTCCAGGGACTCAATTCAAATCACTCCTCACTGACGTAGAACTGTCTGTCACCGAGGTGAATCACACACAACATCTCCTCCGTCTGTGTACTTCTCTCCACTGAATGAATCGAATAACTACTCGATTCATTCATTCATTCATCATCCACTCACTCACTCACTCACTCACTCACACAACCACTCATTCATTCAGTATTTCACTCAATCTGACACTCACACGCACACACACACACACACACAGTGAATATGTCACTCTCTCTTTGGCCACTCCATCAATCACTTCATCTGTCAAACACTGCCTCACTCTCACTCACTCCCTCTCTATCTCTCAACCATTCTCTCACTTACTCCGTCTCGTTCCCTCTCCAACTCCCTTTCATTCGATGAGCCAATCAACCAAGAATTCACTCGTGCATTAAACACTGAATCCGTTCATCATTAACTAATCAATCCACTCGTTGAGAATGAATCCTGAACAGTGGACGACACGCTAATGACTATGCTAGCTCCAGTTCAGGATCACGTTGCAGTGCTGTCAAATCACTGATTGGTGAAAAGTGTTTAAAGTGCACAATAGTACAATAGAAGACGCATACCTGAGTTCCAGACTCCCTCTTCGCTGGACGCCGGCAACACATCCGCCTTTCTAAACATCATCCATGTGATCCTTTCTAAGGGTTAGTCAACTAGATGCTGTCTCGATCTTTGTCAATCTGGCTGACGATTTGAACTAGCTCAATGCATGTCTTCCAGTTTAACTGGTGCTGTGCAGCTTGTTACACAGACTTTACAAAACACCCTCCTTACAAACGCACCTCCGAAAACCACCTCGCTTCTCCTACAGAGGAGAGTGTAGGTCGACCACGATTGAGATGACTTCAAATAATTCCTGTCTATCTGATTCATCGCTTCCTACTCCTCATACTCCACATTATTCCACATTGCAAAGCGTTTTACTTGATCGTCACTCTGAACGCGCTCATCTATCCACCGAGATTCGAACGTGGTGTGGTGTTGTGTGGTATCGTTTGGTGTGTTCGTGTATGTGTGTGTGTGGTCTACTCGAAATTAGTAGTAGTATACTGGTGGAGTGGTCTAGCGATGGTGGCATTCAGGTGGTTGGTGTTCATGTGTATGTTGTCTGAGTGTTTGTTTGTTTGTTTGTTTGTGTGCTTGCTTGTTAGCTTGTCATTGAGTGAGTGGGTGAGTGTGTGAGTGTGTGAGTGAAGTGTATTAGACTGTGAAGTATTTTGATGTGTTTGTTGATGTGAGTGACTTGAGTAATTGAGTTAGTTTTCGGTTTCGAGTGTAGGAGGAGTATAGTTGGGATTGGGGCCCCGTGGCCCAATGGATAAGGCATCTGACTTCGGATCAGAAGATTGCGGGTTCGAGTCCCGTCGGGGTCGAGGCTTTTCCTCCGGTTACCATCACAACGTGCCATTCCTTCAAGAATCCAGTCCCTGCTCACCTCCTTCATCCCCACCAGATCCTGTCAACCAGACTCCTCTGCAACTGGATTTCAGCGGAATATCAGCTCGGAGATCTGTGCACACCTGGTCGCTCCAGGGACTCAATTCAAATCACTCCTCACTGACGTAGAACTGTCTGTCACCGAGGTGAATCACACACAACATCTCCTCCGTCTGTGTACTTCTCTCCACTGAATGAATCGAATAACTACTCGATTCATTCATTCATCCACTCACTCACTCACTCACTCACTCACACAACCACTCATTCATTCAGTATTTCACTCAATCTGACACTCACACACACACAGTGAATATGTCACTCTCTCTTTGGCCACTCCATCAATCACTTCATCTGTCAAACACTGCCTCACTCTCACTCACTCCCTCTCTATCTCTCAACCATTCTCTCACTTACTCCGTCTCGTTCCCTCTCCAACTCCCTTTCATTCGATGAGCCAATCAACCAAGAATTCACTCGTGCATTAAACACTGAATCCGTTCATCATTAACTAATCAATCCACTCGTTGAGAATGAATCCTGAACAGTGGACGACACGCTAATGACTATGCTAGCTCCAGTTCAGGATCACGTTGCAGTGCTGTCAAGTCACTGATTGGTGAAAAGTGTTTAAAGTGCACAATAGTACAATAGAAGACGCATACCCTAGTTCCAGACTCCCTCTTCGCTGGACGCCGGCAACACATCCGCCTTTCTAAACATCATCCATGTGATCCTTTAGAGGTTGAGGGATATTAATTGTTTGACGTGATATCTCGTTCAACAACTTCTAATTAATTTATTCTCGCGTACCAAAGACAAAGCAAAAGCCAACAATTGATCGTCCAAACCAATAGATGTATTTACGAACCAAAACCAGCCGTTAGACGAACGCTTAGCTAGCTAGTGATCGTGCACGTTACACGACGGGTACCAAATGGCGGGGATGCTTGACCGGAAGCCTTCAGCTAAACAAGTCGACTTAAACAGTGGTGGTCAGCATCCAATGAGTGATTGCTGTGGTCAATAATTTTGGGGAATTATTTACCGCTACAGCTCACTCCCCCCCTAGTGGGGTCGTGAGGACCCTAAGACAGAACCAGCCGGAAGTAAAAAAAACTCGATGGTTCCCTTTCGGGTGAAAAAAATCTTCCGAGCGGCTTGGTCTTATGCCTACTGGTTTGTCTGCCTATGCTAATGGGGTGTTTGTACATAGCTTCCTGGTGTTGTTCGTTGGATTCCGTGCTTCGTTTGTTTCCCGTCCAGTGCCCGTCGCACCTGGAAAAGAAAACAAGAACGCTAAGAACCATGTCGAGGAAAATGTACGAAATGACCTTTTTGGTTAAAAAAAATTATGTGCATTTACTATACAGTAAAATAATGCTAAGTTCAGAACATCGAAAAAAAATACATATAATTAATTTTTTTGTGTATGTTACATGAACTGTTGAAAAAAAATTTTTGTGTTTGGTGGTACTGTATATAAAAAAATTTATACGTCAAAAAAAAATAGTTAGTACCACGAACGAGTGAGTTGCGTGAATCACACGACTTCGTTAAGTCAAATAAGTGTGCAAATGTTCTGGGAACCTTACGGTGCGTCCAGAACGGTTTTTCTTAGGAGGCTCAACCTTAGTAGCCAGTGGGCGAATGCCCTTGCAGTCAATAGTGTGACCCAGGAAGTCGAGTGAGTCAACACCGATTTGACACTTTTGAATATTGATGGTAACACCATGTTGGCGTAACCTGTCAAATGCCAAGTCCAAGTGCCTAAGGTGAGTTTCCTTGTCTGGACTGGCAATGAGGCAGTCGTCTAAGTATGCGTATACAAAGTCGAGACCGCGAAATACTTCGTCAATGAAGCGTTGGAATGTTTGGGCTGCATTCCGAAGACCGAATGGCATACGTAGAAATTCAAAAAGTCCGAAAGGCGTAATGATAGCCGTTTTCGGGATGTCTTCTGTTGCCATCGGGATTTGGTTATACGCTTTAACCAAGTCGATTTTGGAGAATATAGTCGCGCCGGATAAGGTTGCCGTCAAGTCGTGTATATGAGGCAACGGGTAGCAATCAGGGGTTGTTTTGGCATTCACTCGCCGGTAATCACCGGTGGGTCGCCAATCGTTGCTATCCTTTTTCGGAACCATATGAAGTGGGGATGCCCATGGGCTATTCGAAGGTCGAATGATGCCAAGGCTAAGCATATGGTCAAATTCATTCCTGGCGATTCTCAGTTTGTCAGGAGCTAATCGTCGTGCTTTAGATGTCACAGGTTGTCCTGTGGTAATGATGTGGTGCATAACATTGCTGGTTATGCACGGTAGGTCGTTCGACGGGCAGTTAAGTTCCGGATACTTGTCAACGATAGGTTGAAAAGTTGGATCAAGAATTGCCTTTATCTTAACGGGTGACAAGCTAGGGCCTATGTAGCTGATGCCTTTGATAGACAGACTAGTAGTATTGTCAATCAGTCGTTTTCGGCGGACGTCTACGAGTAAATCATGATGATTAAGTAGGTCCGTGCCAATGATGGGCATTGTAACGTCAGCGAGAAGGAAAATCCACCGAATAGGTTTGCGTAAACCTACGTTCAGATAGACGTATTTCCTACCAAAGGTTGCGATTGGTTTTCCATTTGCAGCCTGTAAGTTGAAGGTAGGTTCCTTCTGTCGATCTGCTGCTGTAGCAGGAAGGACGCTGACTTCGGCGCCTGTGTCGACTAAGTATCGAGTCTGGCTTATCACATCATGGATGTAAAGTAGGCGGCTAGTGCCACCGGCGACGGTTGCCGCTAACGCGTGCCGGCGGGATAGTTTCCCGCAGACTTTGAGACATTTCCGAAGTTACAAGGCTTACGGCAACACTTCGCTTCTTGGCCATAGGTGTTGTGGTACCAGCACCAGTCAGGGTTTTTCAGTGAACGTGGTTTGGACTTAGATCGACCACGCGAGTTCCTGCGTTGAGGAGATTTAGGACGACGGTTGGAGGATTTAGAATGCGTGTTTGACCTAAACATCTGCTGAAGGGAGTTGCATAACTCTGTCATTGCAGGATCCTCACTCGAAGTCTGCTTAGTCATTGAGCATATTTCGGGGACAGACCGTTTAGTTATTTCTAGAATCTTATCTGCAGTAATAGCTAAGTTCTCTATTACAGTACCCTCAAGTGTCACAAGTACGGTCTGTACAGATTGTGGCAACTTGGTTAAGAAGAGTTCTCTAAACAGTCCTTCGTCGAACTGACATTGGCCGACGACTTGTTTCATTCTTGTCAGCATGCTCACGGCTGACTGATCTCCTAACTCGATGTTGCGAAATAATTCATCTAGACGTTGTCTGTCCGTGAGAGCGTTTCTCCTGAGGAGGGATGCTTTCAGCAACTCGTACGAGTTACTTACCTCGGGACTCAACATCTGTGATGTTACGTACTTGCTGAATTCCCGCGGTAGGGCGTGAATAACTGCAAGTAACTGTGAACGTTGATCAGTTATCCCATGCTCACAAAAATCTGCTTCAGCTAGCAGAAACCACGTTTCAGCATTATCTGGCCAGTATGGTACGAGCTGAATGGTTTTAGGAGTTGAGCGGATACGGATGACCTTGGGACTAAGATCACTCATGACGAAAATTATGTCGAATAATATATGGTACAAGAACAAATACAAAATGGAACGAACTCACCGGGATTATCTGAGTAATTGTCGTAGATGAAGTTCGCGGTTGGGCTCACCAGTTTAAAGGTGGGCGGATTTATCGTGGGTGAAGTTCGCGGTTGGGCTCACCAGTTTAGAGGTTGAGAGATATTAAAGGTTTGACGTGATATCTCGTTCAACAACTTCTAATTAATTTATTCTCGCGTACCAAAGACAAAGCAAAAGCCAAAAATTGATCGTCCAAACCAATAGATGTATTTACGAACCAAAACCAGCCGTTAGACGAACGCTTAGCTAGCTAGTGATCGTGCACGTTACACGACGGGGTACCAAATGGCGGGGATGCTTGACCGGAAGCCTTCAGCTAAACAAGTCGACTTAAACAGTGGTGGTCAGCATCCAATGAGTGATTGCTGTGGTCAATAATTTTGGGGAATTATTTACCGCTACAATCCTTTCTAAGGGTTAGTCAACTAGATACTGTCTCGATCTTTGTCAATCTGGCTGACGATTTGAACTAGCTCAATGCATGTCTTCCAGTTTAACTGGTGCTGTGCAGCTTGTTACACAGACTTTACAAAACACCCTCCTTACAAACGCACCTCCGAAAACCACCTCGCTTCTCCTACAGAGGAGAGTGTAGGTCGACCACGATTGAGACGACTTCAAATAATTCCTGTCTATCTGATTCATCGCTTCCTACTCCTCATACTCCACATTATTCCACATTGCAAAGCGTTTTACTTGATCGTCACTCTGAACGCGCTCATCTATCCACCGAGATTCGAACGTGGTGTGGTGTTGTGTGGTATCGTTTGGTGTGTTCGTGTATGTGTGTGTGTGTGGTCTGCTCGAAATTAGTAGTAGTATACTGGTGGAGTGGTCTAGCGATGGTGGCATTCAGGTGGTTGGTGTTCATGTGTATGTTGTCTGAGTTTTTGTTTGTTTGTTTGTTTGTTTGTTTGTGTGCTTGCTTGTTAGCTTGTCATTGAGTGAGTGGGTGAGTGTGTGAGTGTGTGAGTGAAGTGTATTAGACTGTGAAGTATTTTGATGTGTTTGTTGATGTGAGTGACTTGAGTAATTGAGTTAGTTTTCGGTTTCGAGTGTAGGAGGAGTATAGTTGGGATTGGGGCCCCGTGGCCCAATGGATAAGGCATCTGACTTCGGATCAGAAGATTGCGGGTTCGAGTCCCGTCGGGGTCGAGGCTTTTCCTCCGGTTACCATCACAACGTGCCATTCCTTCAAGAATCCAGTCCCTGCTCACCTCCTTCATCCCCACCAGATCCTGTCAACCAGACTCCTCTGCAACTGGATTTCAGCGGAATATCAGCTCGGAGATCTGTGCACACCTGGTCGCTCCAGGGACTCAATTCAAATCACTCCTCACTGACGTAGAACTGTCTGTCACCGAGGTGAATCACACACAACATCTCCTCCGTCTGTGTACTTCTCTCCACTGAATGAATCGAATAACTACTCGATTCATTCATTCATTCATTCATCCACTCACTCACTCACTCACTCACTCACACAACCACTCATTCATTCAGTATTTCACTCAATCTGACACTCACACGCACACACACACACACACAGTGAATATGTCACTCTCTCTTTGGCCACTCCATCAATCACTTCATCTGTCAAACACTGCCTCACTCTCACTCACTCCCTCTCTATCTCTCAACCATTCTCTCACTTACTCCGTCTCGTTCCCTCTCCAACTCCCTTTCATTCGATGAGCCAATCAACCAAGAATTCACTCGTGCATTAAACACTGAATCCGTTCATCATTAACTAATCAATCCACTCGTTGAGAATGAATCCTGAACAGTGGACGACACGCTAATGACTATGCTAGCTCCAATTCAGGATCACGTTGCAGTGCTGTCAAATCACTGATTGGTGAAAAGTGTTTAAAGTGCACAATAGTACAATAGAAGACGCATACCTGAGTTCCAGACTCCCTCTTCGCTGGACGCCGGCAACACATCCGCCTTTCTAAACATCATCCATGTGATCCTTTCTAAGGGTTAGTCAACTAGATGCTGTCTCGATCTTTGTCAATCTGGCTGACGATTTGAACTAGCTCAATGCATGTCTTCCAGTTTAACTGGTGCTGTGCAGCTTGTTACACAGACTTTACAAAACACCCTCCTTACAAACGCACCTCCGGAAACCACCTCGCTTCTCCTACAGAGGAGAGTGTAGGTCGACCACGATTGAGACGACTTCAAATAATTCCTGTCTATCTGATTCATCGCTTCCTACTCCTCATACTCCACATTATTCCACATTGCAAAGCGTTTTACTTGATCGTCACTCTGAACGCGCTCATCTATCCACCGAGATTCGAACGTGGTGTGGTGTTGTGTGGTATCGTTTGGTGTGTTCGTGTATGTGTGTGTGTGGTCTACTCGAAATTAGTAGTAGTATACTGGTGGAGTGGTCTAGCGATGGTGGCATTCAGGTGGTTGGTGTTCATGTGTATGTTGTCTGAGTTTTTGTTTGTTTGTTTGTTTGTTTGTGTGCTTGCTTGTTAGCTTGTCATTGAGTGAGTGGGTGAGTGTGTGAGTGTGTGAGTGAAGTGTATTAGACTGTGAAGTATTTTGATGTGTTTGTTGATGTGAGTGACTTGAGTAATTGAGTTAGTTTTCGGTTTCGAGTGTAGGAGGAGTATAGTTGGGATTGGGGCCCCGTGGCCCAATGGATAAGGCATCTGACTTCGGATCAGAAGATTGCGGGTTCGAGTCCCGTCGGGGTCGAGGCTTTTCCTCCGGTTACCATCACAACGTGCCATTCCTTCAAGAATCCAGTCCCTGCTCACCTCCTTCATCCCCACCAGATCCTGTCAACCAGACTCCTCTGCAACTGGATTTCAGCGGAATATCAGCTCGGAGATCTGTGCACACCTGGTCGCTCCAGGGACTCAATTCAAATCACTCCTCACTGACGTAGAACTGTCTGTCACCGAGGTGAATCACACACAACATCTCCTCCGTCTGTGTACTTCTCTCCACTGAATGAATCGAATAACTACTCGATTCATTCACTCATTCATTCATCCACTCACTCACTCACTCACTCACACAACCACTCATTCATTCAGTATTTCACTCAATCTGACAGTCACACGCACACACACACACACACACACACAGTGAATATGTCACTCTCTCTTTGGCCACTCCATCAATCACTTCATCTGTCAAACACTGCCTCACTCTCACTCACTCCCTCTCTATCTCTCAACCATTCTCTCACTTACTCCGTCTCGTTCCCTCTCCAACTCCCTTTCATTCGATGAGCCAATCAACCAAGAATTCACTCGTGCATTAAACACTGAATCCGTTCATCATTAACTAATCAATCCACTCGTTGAGAATGAATCCTGAACAGTGGACGACACGCTAATGACTATGCTAGCTCCAATTCAGGATCACGTTGCAGTGCTGTCAAATCACTGATTGGTGAAAAGTGTTTAAAGTGCACAATAGTACAATAGAAGACGCATACCTGAGTTCCAGACTCCCTCTTCGCTGGACGCCGGCAACACATCCGCCTTTCTAAACATCATCCATGTGATCCTTTCTAAGGGTTAGTCAACTAGATGCTGTCTCGATCTTTGTCAATCTGGCTGACGATTTGAACTAGCTCAATGCATGTCTTCCAGTTTAACTGGTGCTGTGCAGCTTGTTACACAGACTTTACAAAACACCCTCCTTACAAACGCACCTCCGAAAACCACCTCGCTTCTCCTACAGAGGAGAGTGTAGGTCGACCACGATTGAGATGACTTCAAATAATTCCTGTCTATCTGATTCATCGCTTCCTACTCCTCATACTCCACATTATTCCACATTGCAAAGCGTTTTACTTGATCGTCACTCTGAACGCGCTCATCTATCCACCGAGATTCGAACGTGGTGTGGTGTTGTGTGGTATCGTTTGGTGTGCTCGTGTATGTGTGTGTGTGGTCTACTCGAAATTAGTAGTAGTATACTGGTGGAGTGGTCTAGCGATGGTGGCATTCAGGTGGTTGGTGTTCATGTGTATGTTGTCTGAGTTTTTGTTTGTTTGTTTGTTTGTGTGCTTGCTTGTTAGCTTGTCATTGAGTGAGTGGGTGAGTGTGTGAGTGTGTGAGTGAAGTGTATTAGACTGTGAAGTATTTTGATGTGTTTGTTGATGTGAGTGACTTGAGTAATTGAGTTAGTTTTCGGTTTCGAGTGTAGGAGGAGTATAGTTGGGATTGGGGCCCCGTGGCCCAATGGATAAGGCATCTGACTTCGGATCAGAAGATTGCGGGTTCGAGTCCCGTCGGGGTCGAGGCTTTTCCTCCGGTTACCATCACAACGTGCCATTCCTTCAAGAATCCAGTCCCTGCTC